TTAACTGAAAGACATTGATGACTTGGACTGTTTGATGGACTCTGATACCTCTATTTCCACAAAAGTAAAAGCCTACTTAAACTGCAGTGTCTCTGTATGCTGGTTTGTGTGTTCTCCAACAACACTCTCACAATACTTTTCTGAACGTATTTGTTCTCCCAACAGGGAGCTTACCTAACATGGTTATGGGCCCAGAATGTACCAGACGTAGCTAAAGGAGAGTTGGTATTGATACGCAATACCGCATACAGACAGCTGTTTTCATTAGTGATTGTTACTATCCTGGAGAAGATGGTGAGTGACCCATCAACAAGCCTATCAATGATAACCCGGTTGGATGGAACAAACTATGTTTCCTGGTCCATGAAAAGCAGTCTACTCCTGTGTACGGAGCTTATCTAACAATGTTCGTGGAAAATGTAGCTTGTAATGCCAAAAAAGCTAGATTTGTATCAAAGGGTGACATACAAAAATTTTGCCAGGCCTATGATGATGATTTACACTTGTAATTAAATATACAAATGTCAGAAAAGGTCTAAGTCAGAGGTGTCAAACTGAAGGCCAAGGGGCCGGATCTGCCACATAGAGTGTTTAGATCTGGCCCACAGGGCCGCCCTGGAAACAGCGAAGGACCAGACTATGGTGCCTTTGCCAGTGAAAAGGGAGCTCGGGAGGTCCCTCCTGAGCTCCGTTTTTGCTGGTAGAGGGTTGCAGTAGGCCATCACAGCTGAAAACTGAGCCTGGCAGAGCACTTGGGCTACCACAGGAATCTCTGACATGAGTGACGTTGAGCTGGCCACACACACCCTGCTCCCTCCTCCAGGGCAAAGATGAACCTGATGCGGCCCTCAATACAGAGGTGGGTTTCTGCCGGTTCGGCCGGATCAGGCAAACCGGTAGTGGCGGTGGCAGGAGGCCGCCCAGAGGCTTCTGCGCATGCGCACAAGCGAACCAGTAGTAAAAAAAATTGGAAACCCACTACTGCCTCAGTTTGACACCCCTGATTTAAGCATAATAGCATTTAGAAAACTGCACGTGAGCTTTTTGGTTATTAAGAGTGCTTTTCTGCCTGGAGATCTGAAAGATGAAGCATACATTTACCAATATTAGTCACAACTTTAAAATTGCAAAAAGTGGAGGATACTTGCTCAATCAAACCCAAAAGATAATAGACTGAATGAAGCTTTTAGGTCTCAGTGAGGCAAAGGAGCAGTGGTGGGATTCAGCCAGTTCGCACCTATTCGGGAGAACCGGTTGTTAACTTTCTAAAGCAATTCAGGGAACCGGTTGTTGGAAGAAATCTCATTTTGGTTTTTTTCCACTTTGCTGGGCTAATCCTGGAAGGAAGGCAGGAAGGAAACATTCTGGTGTTGTTTCTAGCCTAATCTTTATTGCCCTGCTTACAGACGCTGCCTCTCTGGTTAACTCTTATTACATTGTAACAGCTAAGGCGAAGCACCCATTGACGTGAGTGACGTTGAGTTGGCCACGCCCACCCAGTCACATGACCACTGAGCCACACCCACCCAGCTGATCATTAGGGCAGAGAACCGGTTGTTAAATTATTTGAATCCCACCACTGCAAATGAGCCCAGCATATTCATAGAAGTTGTGTGTTTACGTAAAGGAGGAAACCAAAGCTAGTAATATGCAGGGTAAGACTGCTAGCAGAAAGCCATTATATATGACAATTGTGAGTAGATGTGATACAGCCAACTGCAGGGAAGCAATACAACAGGATGGTACAGCAGTAAAAAGATTAGGCAGAGATTTACAAGGAATTACATTTTTAATGAACTTTTTAATTTTTGATAATCTTCATTCAACATTCAACACTCATAATCAACATCTTTCATTTAAAACTGATAATCCAAAGTTTATACCCAAGTTCACATTGTGTTGGAGATGAATCTTAGGACATCACTTATAGGATACATATTGTTCTGTGTCTAGATAGCAAGCACAAGAGGCTTGCTATTTAGAGAGGCTGGGTAATGAGATGCCAAATACACATGCAGGCAACTTGTGTGGCTGCCCACTTTTGCTGACTTTGAATTAAAGAAACAACCTGTTACAATATTTTGGAACAACATGAAATATGTCAGAAATGCAGATACCAGAGTTTGTGTTTGCAATGAGAAAAAAAAGATGAAACTTTGATTCAGTTTTTGTAAATTAGACATTATTATAGAAATGGCTTGTACATATTTCTGTGTAAAAGGAAAAAGTTGTAGTTGTAATGTTGCTATTTTTGGGACAAAGAGTGTCAGAATTTTGTTCCTTTTTTCTTTTCTTTTCTCCCATTACACTATACCCCCTCTTTCCCCCTTCCTCTCTCCTTACTTCTCCATGGTTTTTTTCTTTGTATTTTATACTTTGATAAACTAATAAATAGTTTTAATTGGGAGGGGAGAAATGCATACCAAGCTGCCTGGATGCAATATGAGACACATAGATATTAACCTGCAGTGTGAAGGATGTACAAGAAAAGGGGTCAAATAAAACTGAAGTGTGAGGCAGTTTGGTATTATGGTCAATGGTCAATGCCTGGAAAGCACTACCTGACTGTGGCTTCTTCCCTAAACCCCCACAACTTTAACCTTAGACTGTCTACTTTTGATCTCACCCCATTCCTAAGAGATCTGTAAGGGGCAGCGTAAGCGCACCAATGTGCCTATCGTCCCTGTCCTACTGTCTCCACTTATTCATATCCATTTCCTGTATTCATAATCATGTTTATACTTATATCTGTTATTTTATACATGCTTGGCAAAATAAATAAAATTAAAATTAAAAT